TCCATCCCAGTCCCTCCCAGTCCCTCCCAGTCCATCCCAGTCCATCCCAGTCCATCCCAGTCCCTCCCAGTCCATCCCAGTCCATCCCAGTCCATCCCAGTCCATTCCCAGTCCCTCCCAGTCCATCCCAGTCCATCCCAGTCCCTCCCAGTTTGTCCCAGTCCATCCCAGTTCCCATTTAACCCATCCCAGTCCATCCCAGTCCAAACCAGTCCATCCCAGTCCAAACCAGTTTGTCCCAGTCCCCTCCCAGTCCCTGACCCCTCCTCCCCTCCCCCAGCATTTTCCTGACGGCCGCCCTGGGCCTGCCCGAGGCTCTGATCCCGGTGCAGCTGCTCTGGGTCAACCTGGTCACCGATGGTCTCCCGGCCACCGCCCTGGGCTTCAACCCCCCGGACCTGGACATCATGGACAAACCTCCCAGGAGCCCCAAGGAGCCGCTCATCTCCGGATGGCTCTTCTTCCGCTACCTGGCCATCGGTGGTGAGACGGGGCTGGGGTCACCTGGGAGGTCACCTGAGGGACACCTGAGGGGCAGCTGAGGGTAGGTGGGGGTGATTGTGGAGGAGGTTCCTTGAGGAACCTCCATGAAAGCATCTGGAGAGCCCAAAAAACCACCTGGAGATAGCAAAAAGTCACCCTGAGATGACCCCGTGGAGAAGGTTCCTTGAGGAACCTTCAAAAAAACACCTGGAGATCCCAAAGAACCCAAAAAACCACCTGGAGATCCCAAAAAAACCCAAAAAACCACCTGGAGATCAAAAAAAATCACCCTGAGATGACCCTGTGGAGAAGGTTCCTTGAGGAACCTTCAAAAAAACACCTGGAGATCCCAAAGAACCCAAAAAACCACCTGGAGATACCAAAGAACCCAAAAAACCACCTGGAGATCCCAAAGAACCCAAAAAACCACCTGGAGATCAAAAAAAATCACCCTGAGATGACCCTGTGGAGGAGGTTCCTCGAGGAACCTTCAAAACACCACCTGGAAATCCCAAAGAACCCAAAAAACCACCTGGAGATACCAAAAAAACATGTGGAGATCCCAAAAAACCACCTGGAGATACCAAAAAATCACCCTGAGATGACCCTGTGGAGAAGGTTCCTTGAGGAACCTCCATAAAACCACCTGGAGATCCCAAAGAACCCAAAAAAACCACCTGGAGATCAAAAAAAATCACCCTGAGATGACCCTGTGGAGAAGGTTCCTCGAGGAACCTTCAAAAAACCACCTGGAGATCCATAAAAAACTCCAAAAAACCACCTGGAGATACCAAAAAACCACCTGGAGATGCCAAAGAACCCAAAAAACCCCTGGAGATACCAAAGAACCCAAAAAACCCCTGGAGATACCAAAAAATCACTTTGAGTCCTCCTCGTGGAGGAGGTTCCTTGAGGAACCTCCATAAAAGCATCTGGAGATCCAAAAAAACCCACCTGGAGATCCCTGTGGAGAAGGTTCCTTGAGGAACCTCCATAAAACCACCTGGAGATGCCAAAGAACCCTAAAAACCACCTGGAGACCCCCCAAAACCACCTGGAGACCCCCCAAGGTGGCCCCTTGGAGACCCCCAGGTTGTCCCCAGGTTGTCCCCAACCCCCTCCCCCCACCCACCCGGTTGTTCCCTCCCAGGTTACGTCGGGGCCGCCACGGTGGGAGCGGCCGCCTGGTGGTTCCTCTTCGCTGAGGATGGACCCAACGTCAGCTACCACCAGCTGGTGAGTCCCAAAGTGTCCTCGAGGTGTCCTCAGGTGTCCCCAGGTGTCCCCGAGGTGTCCCTGAGGTGTCCCCAAGCTCTGATGACCCCAGGATGTTCCTGAGATGTTCCTGAGATGTTCCCGAGGTGTCCCCAAGCCCTGGTGACCCCGGGATGTCCCCGAGGTGCCCCTGAGATGTTCCTGAGATGTTCTTGAGATGTTCCTGAGTTGTCCCTGAGGTGTCCCCGAGCTCTGATGGCCCCAGGATGTTCCTGAGATGTTCCTGAGATGTTCCTGAGATGTTCCCGAGGTGTCCCCAAGCCCTGGTGACCCCGGGATGTCCCCAAGGTGCCCCTGAGATGTTCCTGAGATGTTCCTGAGATGTTCCCGAGGTGTCCCTGAGGTGTCCCTGAGCTCTGATGGCCCCGGGATGTTCCTGAGATGTTCCTGAGATGTTCCTGAGATGTTCCTGAGATGTTCCTGAGATGTCCCCAGGATGTCCCCAAGCCCTGGTGACCCCGGGATGTCCCCGTGTCCCCCCAGACCCATTTCATGCAGTGCTCCGAGCACAACGTGGAGTTCGAGGGGTTGGACTGTGACATCTTCGAGTCTCCGGTGCCGATGACGATGGCGCTGTCGGTGCTGGTGACCATCGAGATGTGCAACGCCCTCAACAGGTGAGGAACATGGTCACCATGGTCATGGTCATCATGGTCACCTTGGTCATGGTCATCATGGTCATGGTCACGGTCATGGTCATCATGGTCATGGTCATCATGGTCACCATGGTCACCTTGGTCATGGTCATCATGGTCATGGTCATCATGGTCACCATGGTCACCTTGGTCATGGTCACCATGGTCATGGTTATGGTCATGGTGGTCACCTTGGTCATGGTCACCATGGTCACCTTTGTCATGGTCATGGTCATCATGGTCACTGTGGCCATGGTGGTCACCTTGGTCATGGTCATGGTGGTCATCATGGTCATGGTCATCATGGTCATGGTCATCATGGTCATGGTCATTGTGGTGACCATCGAGATGTTCCCAATGTCCCCATGACCTCCTGGTGACCTCCTGGTGGCCCTGTGGTGACCTCCTGGTGTCCCCATGATGTCCCCATGACCTCCTGGTGACCCTGGTGACCCTGGTGACCTGCTGGTGACCTCCTGGTGACCCTGGTGACCCCATGGTGACCTCCTGGTGACCCCGTGGTGACCTCCTGGTGTCCCCCTGATGTCCCCATGACCTCCCGGTGACCTCCTGGTGACCCTGGTGACCTCCTGGTGACCCTGTGGTGACCTCCTGGTGTCCCCATGATGTCCCCATGACCTCCTGGTGACCCCAATGATATCCCCAACGTCCCCATGACCTCCTGGTGACCTCCTGGTGACCCCGTGGTGACCTCCTGGTGTCCCCCTGATGTCCCCATGACCTCCCGGTGACCCCAATGATATCCCCAACGTCCCCATGACCTCCTGGTGACCTCCTGGTGACCCTGGTGACCTCCTGGTGACCTCCTGGTGACCCTGGTGACCTCCTGGTGACCCTGTGGTGACCTCCTGGTGTCCCCCTGGTGTCCCCAGCCTGTCGGAGAACCAGTCCCTGGCCCGGATGCCACCATGGGTGAACATCTGGCTGATGGGCTCCATCTGCCTGTCCATGTCCCTGCACTTCGTCATCCTCTACATCGACCCCCTGCCCGTAAGGGGACACCGGGGACACCACGGGTGGTGGCCACGGGGACCTTGGGGTGGTGGCCTTGGGGACCTTGGGATGGTGGTCATGGGGACCTTGGGGTGGTGGCCCTGGGGACCTTGGGGTGGTGGCCATGGGGATGGTGGCCTTGGGGACCTTGGGGTGGTGGTCATGGGGATGGTGGTCATGGGGACCTTGGGGTGGTGGCCTTGGGGACCTTGGGATGGTGGCTTTGGAGATGTTGGGTTGGTGGTCATTGGGGTGGTGGCCATGGAGACCTTGGGGTGGTGGCCACGGGGACCTTGGGGTGGTGGCCATGGGGACCTTGGG